GACTGCTTTATAAAACTGACAAAGCTGTAATCATTTTTCAAAAATTAGGCAACAAGCAACTTTCTTAAATCATATACATACATACTTGTACATAAATACATACGAGTATATAATAGGTACGAGTATTTGCTTAATTCGATTAGGCTTGAGGCTTGAACGAAGCCTTGGCATTAACCCGGTTAAAAAAAAAAAAAACAAGCGCGGCTGCTCGCTTTCGTTTCGTGTAGGACCAATCGAGTTTTTCCCACCGATATGGTGGCTAATAGCAACAACAACAACCGTTGCCGTCTATAAAAGGCGCGCTCAGCGATAAGGCTGCTTACTCACAAGTACTACGACTCCATAGTCGGAGATGAAGTTAGAGACGAAGTCCAACTCAAAACGAAGCCAACAAGTTTCAATTTATCATCAAGGCAGACATCAATACAAACACAACACTGTTCAGGCGGTCGGACGGTCGGACGGCTGGCCAGTCGTTTGCTCAGATGGCCAAACAAAAATTAATGTTAATTAATTTAGCTTAAACTGACGATTTCAACAGCCACAGTACTGGGGGGCATACTATATGCCAAAAAAAGGCACACAGATAACACGAAAATAACAAAAATAAAAAAATTAAAACAGGTGAGACAGCATGTACGTATATACGGGTATATCTTGCATAGAATAGGTTTTTATTTGTTGGAAAAAATTCGCTTCCTGAACTACAATACATCCAATTCTGTTTTTACTCGGTTTTGACTTAAGACGGTTTGAAAATTAAAAATTGTTACACGACTTTATTCCATTTAGCACGATTTATTTTGCATATGATCAAAGTCTTTTTTACACGTTTTTTTACATGATTTTTTTAGTAACCAATATACCGTGTAAAAACAGAATTAGGTGTACATAATCAATGCATTCCAACAAAATAACCAATGGTTGTTATATGAATAAATTCTTTTCACATGCTTAAGCTTTTCATTATAAAATAATAAGTAACTAGTACACATTATTTCACACTTGTAAAAAGAAACAACGAAAATATTTAATTTATCATTTAATTTATATTTTCTTGTATAATTCCCAGAAAAGTTTTTTTATATAAACTAAAAATTATGATCTGATTGCAGACCTTTTTTCCATCAGCTGATGTAAAGCTCCCTATAGACCTCAGTGATTAAATTTAAAACTGAGAACACAGCTCAATGATTAATTAGTTAAAAGTTTAAAAGAAGAAATATCAGAGGCATAGAAATTTAAATCGAATGGGCAGCATTTTAAGCAAAATTGGGTAAAAAGACGTTCTAAATCAATGTATTCGCAACTCATCGTACATTTTTTCCTTTCGAGGCTTTCAACACTCGTTTAGCTACTTGTATTCCCATAAAATCTATTTTTATGAGTCATTAAAAAGAAAGTATTTTGCATAGATATTTTGCAATCAAAGGAAGACACGCGGTTGAATTGTTCTTTCCAGTGTTATTATCAATTGATTTTTATATCTCTACAATATTCGCATTGCTATTGATCATCTGGTTTAAAAAATATGGGCATATGGTATTTACATTTAATTGTTGAAAAGATTGGGGGGTTCTCTGGCCACACAAAAGTTACACATTTATCAAGAATTTTAATTATTTGATTAATAAACCCACACTTATTAATGTGTTACTTTTGTGTGGTCAGAGAACCCCCCCATCTTTTTGGTAAGCAATCTTTGAAACTGTTCGGCTGAGCTGCTCTGTCAATTGATAGCGAAGTTGATGGCCCGCCAATGATAGTTAAACCTCACACACGAGCCCAACTGGCGACCTATCTGATGGCATCTGCTTAAGTGCTTCAATACGAGCTCGGACACACACACAAATTCTGTTAAGAGTCGTCAACAAATTTACAAACCCACAACAGCAACAGCAACAGTCTCGCACAATAAATGAGCGCATAATTAATTTGTGCATTTGAGTGTCGAGCGACACAGATTTGGATTTTTTTGATGTTATGTTTATTTACTGCAAATGGCATGCAGATTTTCATTTGATTTTTTTATGTGCGTCGTTTTTGACCAAATGGGTGCATATATGTGCATATACGATTATATAGTATGTGCATATGTACGAATCAGTCAGTCTCTTTGTTTGATGAATGCCTTCGGCATCGCATCAAGAGCGCACAAAATTTGTTTGCATATTAATGTGAACGCTTAAATCGGTTAACGAGCCGAGATTAGAATTCGAATGAGGTGCCATGCAAACCATTGTGTGTAGATTTTTGTGGCTCTGAAAAGCTGTTAAAACTGAAATGAACAAAGAGTTTATGATAACCAGAGATACTTGCATGCTCGTAGCAACCAATGGAAGGAGGGGAATACTTTAAATAAATCATAATATGCATAGCATTGTAATAATAATAATAATAAAGATTTTACGGCACTAGCGTAACGATTAAGTATTATTGCAAATTCAATTAGGCAACAACATGCGCACTTTATTAAATTAAATGCCGTGCGGAAAAAGAGTCACAAAATCGACGAAAATCGTGCGAGCCACACCACCACCAGGCCCATACACGCACACACAAAGAACACACTCTCAAAGGCAACAACACAACACCGTCTGCGAAGAAGCCTGGCCAAAGAATGCTGAGGCCTTTAGTGTTTTTTGTTGTTATCGTTATGCCGTCGTCGTCGTCGTCGTCGGTTTGGGGCTTCTGCTGCCTGGTCTGGCCAACAACAGGCGCAACAGCAACAGCAGCGGCAGCGGCAGCTCGAGCGACTCATTCGTTTCCAACGCACATTCGAGCTCTGTCCTCGAGTAAAAATTCTCTAAACATGCTGTCAAGTTATGTCTACATTCCTTGATCATATTTTTTCCGACTTTTTTTTTCTTCTCTGCTGCCATGGCCGCTGCTTGTTCGCTCCGACAGTTGCTGCTGGTGCTCTGCCACTGCCACTGCCACCGCCACCAACAGCAACAGCACCAGCACCACCATCCCCCCCTGTTGCCACCAAGTGGCGCAGATACTAGTTTCTTAATGTGGCGCAGCAAATGTGCCGCGGTGAGCATAAAAATCAGCAACACGAACGCTTCAAGAGCTCCAAATGGGCATAAAAATGTCCATGTCTGCCATTCCCAATCGCCTCTCAGCTACGCTCTCATTCCGAATTCGACTCAAACTGAACGAATGCGCTCAACCTGTAGTCCGCTCTTAAAATCGCTCTTAAGCGAACCACACTGCGGATGGAATCTAACTGCAGCGCTCCAATAATAAAAGATGGTCACCTAAAGGAAACGACACTCGACATTTCTTCACATCAAAAATCAATTAGGAATTGCTACAAATAATTATTTTTGTTAATTTTCACTTACTTTTAATTATTCTTATAGTTTGTAAAGATCTAATTTGACGTGAAAAACTATCCGAAACTGACAGCAAACTAATCGGTCCTAGTTAATTAATTCGTTCACAAAAGTTAATGTTGTCTTCTAAAAATAAACTTAACGGGAAAACCTTGCTGTACTTTTGCAAAATTCTTTGCTTACAGCCCAAGCATACTACAAGAGAAGAGAGAATAAGAATATAATCTTTGTCCTAGTTAATTATGTCGCTCACCCTTTAGTTAGATAAATAACTGAACCGGCCGATTGAATTAAATGCGTCTAAGTCCTGCAAGTATTCTTTACCAATTTCAATAATAAATAATAATGATTGATGTTGATACATTGGTCAAATAAAAGAACAAGAAATTTATTCAATTCTTTAAGTCAAATATCATTTTTTTTTATATATGTATATATATTTTGTATTCGGCTACCGAATGTAACAGCTTAAGCTACATTTAAACACATTTAAGGGGAAAACAAAAAATGTATCATTGTATACAACTATAGCATAAGAGTTGCATCTATGTGTTTTGTATTTGCTCAAATTATTTACATTTCTCTCTAGGAATTCTTATTTATTCCTTATGATTTGATATGATTTAGGAAAGGGATCCTTTGAATGGGGACATTGCATATTTTTTTGAGAATATTCGCTTGAGCCACTCTTTTGTTTTTTGTTTGATTAGAATGGACTTTAAATCTTCAACAAATATCTTTACCATACTCTTCTTATACGAATTATTTTCGAAGCATCTCGATCAGCTGTGTTATAATAGTCTGCTCTGCTGTGATGGTTGTATTGTCTATGAGTATTAATCTTATTTTAATAGGAATCATGTACAAGCTAAACAATTCTACGACAAGTATGTAGACTTAAATTTTGCAACCTCATAGAGATTCAAAAAAAAAATAAAAAAATAAAAAATCAATAGTAAGAACTATTTTCAATTTCTGGTCTGACCAGGATTTTATTGCTATTTACTTCCAAAATCCTTCTACCATTTCTACGGCAGCTTTAAAAACCATTGGTCCCATCCAGTCGATTGTAATACTTATATTATCTGCTTGCAAGAATTACAAATCGCTTGCAGGTCAATCGTTTTAGAATTAATGGATAAGTTTTCACGGAAATAAACAATGAGTTCAAAATATAATTGTGGCATCATCCAAGCCATTTATTAAGAGTGAATAATTATGAACTAAAGTGGACCATCAGAGTCGGGAATCATTGCAGGCAAAAAACAATCGTAATTGCTTAACATAATGCAGTTAATGCCAAACGGATGCTTATTACTGTGCACGGTCATATTTAATCAAGTGTGACGCCTGTGAACACATCTATTTGGAAAGTTCTAAAGTCCAGCGCTCATTTACACACTGAACGGTGAAGTGAACATTTCGTTGACCAAAATGTACCGAACGCAGTGCCACCTTTTAATATTGACGACCTGTTTCTATCTCGTAATTGGAAACAACTTGGACAAGGTGGACTAGAGTTTTGTTTTGTTTGCCACGCCTCCCTAAGTAACGCTTTTTCGTTAGCAGAACATAATAATACGGAGCGTGGAGTGTACACAGAAAAGCAAAATATTTTTGAAGATAGAGTGCTTTGCAGACGCTCACAATACAATTACCATGCACTTGACCACCAATGATGAAGAAATCCACAAAATGATTGGCGTTACGGAGGTAATACTCACGATCCATGGTCGGGACAGCGTAATGCGCTATAACAATATTAGGTTGGACATTTGTAAGCTGCTCAGTTTCTCCGCAAGGCGTTCCATACTTGCCTTCTTCTACCAGAGCATTAGACGAGCCGCCATTAACTTTCCAAAGCGATGTCCTTTCAAGACGGTGGGCATGGATGCAGTATAACTGTCTAACTACTAATGCTAATTTCATGCCTATGCAGAACACAACCTACACGCTCAAGCAGATGAGTTTTGATGTGAACGTCTTCCCTTTCTATGTGCCCGAGTATAATTTCACCTTTATCGGCCACTTTTTTGCCAACGACGTACTCACCATGGACGTTAAGGTAACCGGCGCACTCTGCAAAAAGACGAACAATTGCTCAGGTGCAGTGGGCGAGTTGCAACCCTAAAGGCAAATATGCCATTAAAAAAACGAGTAGTGCGCTCAAGTAGCTCGAGCCCGATTCTTGTATACCCTGTGCTTAACCCTCTTCCCTCAGTTTGCAATTACACTTTATGATAACGTATGTAGTAGAGCAACAATCCCTTTAAATTCCTTACGAAATCATAAAGAGAATGTTTTACTCAGAGAGTAGTGTAGTAGTGCTTCGATTTCAAAAAACTCCACAACATTGTGGGGCAATGTAAAAATTCATAAATATTTCGTTGCCACCATTTTTTGTGAATAAAATTTTATTAAGAATGCTATTGTCCTATGGGAGTTATACAAAATAAAGAAGCATTGTATGTATGGCTTGCAATAAACTAGGTCTGGGTATGGATAATTATAGTATTTATTTATTTAATTATACATAGTTAACAAACAACTGCTAACTTTGCAAGAAAAATAACAATGTAAGTATACAAATAATAAGAAGAAATTAAAAAGAAAAACTTATAAATATACAAATGAATTCAATATACTTGTATGTATTAAATAGTAGAACTTAAAAATAAAATTCAAGCAAGTGGAACAAGGGAGCTGTTCAAAAGTTCTCAGTTTCTATATCGATTTGGGTCTGTCACATCTCCCATGGCTACATTTCTGTTTAGGCCGCTTAGGAAACCCGTGCACCCTTCTGGTGTAGGGTATAAATACAAGGTATGCTATTGTCAGCAGAAAGAAGAATCGAAAGAGGGTGTAGCACAACAAAAAACTGAGCACTGAGGGCCAAGAGCGAAGCGCCGATCTCTTGCATTTCACTCAAAACCGGCATTCGATAGAGCGAGCACAGTGAGTGCCACTCGATGTGGCAGCGGAGAGCAGAATGCGTGACGCAGCGTGCTTGCAGATCGCTCGATGGTTGCCAGTTTAACTAAGCAAGGCGAGAGCTGGACAGTCGTCAGTCTGCAACTCAAGCTCGAACGAGGCGGTACGCCTGCGCGCAACATTTTATTTTCGACACTAAATGCCAGCAATTGAAATCAAATCAAACCAAATAGTGTTAGGCCGGAGTTATTATTCGGTCCGTGCTTTTTGCTTACGAACTGCAACCGCAACTGCAGAGTAATTAAACAATCTCCTGTGGGTGTGACTGTGCTATAAAGTGCTGGTGCATTGGCCCTGCACTAAAAATAACTACATACTTAACAATAAAGAATTCTTATAAAAAACTTGAGAAACTAAAATGCGACAAAACGCGCAGACAGCCGACTGACTGCTACAATAAAAATAAAAAAGCATAAAAATTCCACAAATCGTTCGGTGTGCGCGCAACTTCAACGACGACGGAGCAGAGACTGCGAGTCGATTGTCGATTCTCGATGTGGTTGTGGATGTCGATGTGGATGTGGTTCTGAGGCAAAGGCAGCGGCGGTCAAGTGAACACTTCGCAGCGACGTTCTAAAGTGTTGAAACAAAAAAACAAAAAACAAACCGAAAATAAACTGAAGGTGCGAGACAAGAAATTAAATTGATAAACCAAAAAGCAAAGCAAACTTACGGAGAGCACGTTCAACGCCTAGCCCTGTGACAGGAGTCCAAGGCTGAAGTGTGTTTGTGTATGTGTGTGTGTGTGTGTGTGTGCGCGCAGGACTTGTCGTTGGCAATTATCAAGCGCAGCACATCTAGTGGGGAATGCGCAGCCTACATATATATACATATATACTACACACTATATATGCGACTATATAGTCGTCGCTTTCGTCGTTGTTGTCTGTATGTACGTGTCGTGTGGTAAATAGCTCAAAGCCACGAAATTATTTTTATCGGCGCGCCAAAATCGCCAATTGGGAAAAAATTGAAAAGCTGTTAAGCGCGCACCAAAAAATACAATAACAACAACAAACAACAAAAAAAAGAGCAGCAAAAAGCTGGCCCAGACTTGCTCACAACAAAAGTGTGTGTATTTGTGTGCTTCCGTGTGTGTGTGTATGTTTGTGTGTGTGTGTGTAACAGCCGTGCCGGGCAGTCAAGTAGGAAATGTGAAAAGGGCAGCGGCTGGCATCGCCAATGCTGATCGCGTGGTAGACTCAGTCATAGACCCACAGAACAAGGCAAGCGCGAACGCGAACGCGAACGGGAACGGGAACTCGACTCCATAAACCGACTGAGAGTGCACACAATAACTACAACAACTACAATAACAATAACAACAACAATAAAAGCAAAAACCACACACACAAAACAACCAAAAAAGATCCACAAAGAAATTGCAAAAATATTACCCGACAGGCTTATTTCGTACTTGTAATGCGCGCTATAATCCAACAACACTGACAACAACAGCAACAGCAACAACAATAACAATAGCGACGGCAATTGCAACAACAGCAGCAACAGCAACAACAACAACAACAACAGCACAAAGCATCGAAAAAGTATAATAAAAAATTACAACAAGTGATCGTGCAGAAAATAGATCGATAAACCGAAAAAGGCCAAAATAAATAAATAAACGACCGCGACGCGACGCGACGCGCGCGCGCGCGCGCTTCTTGTGCACGTTTTTTGTTTCAATTGTGGAAATCGAGAAAAATCGAAAACGTAATAACAGAAACAAGAATCAGCACATCCACGCTCCAATCCTTGGCCGTGGCTGCAGAGCCAATATTTATTAAACAAAGCCTGAAATTAATTTCACGACTTTTTCGTGTGGCCAGCCCTCCGATCCTCCCCACCCCTCCACCCGTCCACCCACCGAAACATAAAACTGAGAGCCCACACGGCGAAGCATCAACGTTCTAGACGGACTCTTCTTAATGCGCAGCGAAAACTTGAGGCCAGTGTGAAGCGGCAGCAGCGGTCTCAGCGGCAGCAAAATGTACGACATCAAGCGCCTGGAAGCCGGACAGCAGCAGCACCAACAACTACAACAACAGCCACAGCAACTACAACAACAACAGCAAAGTAAATCCCTCGGAATCGCTTTAAGCGAGCGCCTGCGCGGCTCAACCACAGCTCAGCCGCAGCTCACCTGCAGCGTCATCACGCCCCCGCAACTCACACACAACTGTAACATCAGTCTGCAGCATCCCCACTCCCTGGGAACGACATCGGGAGGCAAGCAAGCTCTGAGCCATTACCGCGATCCCACCGAAGCCACACACATGACGCTGATCTCGTTACGCCGACGCCGTTTGTTTCAGCGTCGGGCCTGTCTGCTCAGCATACTGGCCGCCTTTGTCTTCGGCATGGCACTGGGTGTTGTGGTGCCCATGTTTGGACTGCCCGACTATTTCAACAGCAGCGACAGCAGTGGCAGCACTGGCGATCAGCCACTGCCGGCTCTCACCCTAGTTCAGCTGCAGGCGAACCAAAGCCGCAACGCGGCCATGTTGCGACCACCATCCGATTTTCCCACGATATACGAGCCCAGTGGCGAGCAGGCACCCTATTCAGTGGCCTTCATCAAGGATGAGGAGACGGAATTGACCGCCGAGCAGGTCTTTCGTAACGTCTTCCATCTAGAGCAGGATAAGAATGCACCCGACTCCATGATTGTGAAAAAACTTGACACAAGTGATGGCAGCATTAAGGAGTTCCATGTGCAGCGCACAGCCAACGGTCGCTATCGCAAGGGACCCGAGCGACGTCTTTCCAAGCCAGCCGTGGGTAAGCAGGCGTTGTCGGACCAGAGCGCGGACGGACGCCTGGCCACTGGAAATGCCTGGCCACTGGCACGGCCCAACGTAGAGAGTACGCAGAGTCGTCACCGGAATGAGGGCATCATCAAGTCGGACATTTTCTGGGGCGATCTGGTAGAGAGTGCCCTGCCCAAAGGTTTTGGGTCGCCGGATCAGCTCAGCTGGGAGCGGTATGTGGCCGGTGAGGGAGAAGTGATGCGTCTGGAGCACGGTTGCGGACGCATGCAGAATCGTATGGTTGTCTTCGCCGATGGAACGCGCGCCTGCGCACGCTACCGTCAGAACACGGATCAGATACAAGGCGAAATATTCTCATACTACCTCGGCCAGCTGCTCAACATTAGCAACCTGGCACCTAGTGCTGCAACCATTATTGATACGACCACAAGCAGCTGGTCGGCGGCTGTAGGGGATATTACGCAGGCGCAGTGGAAGGAGAAGCGACCGGTGGTGCTCACGCGCTGGTTGCCTGACCTCGAGCCTGCCGGCATACCGCAGCCGTTTCAGCCGCTGGAGCGACATCTGAACAAGTACGATGTTTGGAACATAACGCTGCAGCGATTGCAGCAGCAGCAGCAGCACGCGACGCCAATAGCGGCAGCGGCAGTGGCGTCGAATAGCGAGGTCGACATTGGCGACAGGCAACAGCGAGGATTACTCAAGCGGCTGGAGGCTGCCAGTAACCCAACGTACACTCATCAATCACGCATGCTTGACTCGGCTGCGTCCTCGACAGCATCGGAGGCGGCGTCGTTCTCGGTGACGGGAGCAGTTGAAGACGCTGAGGGAGCCAGTGAGCAGGCAGTGCTTCAGCGACTAATTGAATTGGCACAATGGTCCGATTTAATCGTCTTCGATTACCTGATCGCGAACCTCGATCGTGTCGTTAATAACTTGTACAACTTTCAATGGAATGCCGACATTATGGCTGCACCTGCGCACAACCTCGCCCGCCAAACGCACTCCCATCTGCTCGTGTTTCTTGACAACGAGTCCGGCCTGCTACACGGCTATCGACTGCTCAAGAAGTACGAGGCCTATCACAGCTTGCTGCTGGACAATCTCTGCGTCTTTCGGCAACCCACCATTGAGGCGCTCCAGCGATTGCGTGCCGAGGGCGCGGGACGCCGACTGCGCGAACTCTTTGAGCGCACGACGAGCGCCAATGTGCGTGACGTGCTGCCCTCTCTGCCGGATAAATCAATCAAGATACTGGTGGAACGCATCGATCGCGTGCTGGGGCAGGTACAGAAGTGCAGGGACATGCTTGCCGCCGACAACAACAACAGCAACAACAGCCACAGCAATACCAACAACTACAGCAACAGCGGCAACAAGAGCAGATAATAAAGCGCGACGACGATGCTGCGACGATGTCACACATTTGGATTTTGGATTCACTTACGAGTATCCATTGCGCGGGGTCTTGAAGCCATTAGCATTATCATTATCCACTCACAACTCCTCAGCCAAGTTGACGACTGATAAGCTGTAAATATTGTTGTAACAATTTAAATAAGTTCGGTTGTTAACATTTTTTTAAATCCCATGATGAAATGCCAAATGTCCATATAGATGGGTTCATAGCTAGATCGCTGAATAGTCATAAACACTAGGAAGGGGGTTGGTTCTTATTATTTCAACCCAAAACTATAAGCTAGGCACTTTGATATGAACGGAAAGACTATTTCAATCATCTGTACTAACTAAATGAATCGAATACTAAACTAGATCTTCATACGGAAAAGCTGTTGAAGATCTAGAGTGTACTTGTGCTTATATTTGAACTTAAACGCTCCCATATGTATCTATATATTAATGCACATCAATGTGTGAGTGCAAAATATTGTTTGAAAAGAGAACAAAACAATATCTGTGTAAATGTAAAGGCAACGATTTTATATTTATTCTAGATTTGTCTTAGATTGAGCAAACCAATTAAGAAGAGAACTAAAATCTTCAGTTAGGACTTTTGTGTACGTTCTTTAGCCTTAGTAGTCGTGTAAAACATTTACCATTGTTTTCTTGAGCCACAACTAATATTTAATGAATGTTTTGTGATATTTGTTTAGGAATTAGTGAAAACTAATTGAAATATATTGTAGTAGATTTCTTGTATAATTTGTAGGTACTTCTAAGAGAGAGCAAATAAAAACCATAAATAAAACAAATAAATAAACAAACAAACAAACACAGCTGTATACTATTTTATACTCAACCTACTCAACCACTCAGGCGCTATAACAACTAAGCGACCTGTTAAAAATATGGCAACTACACTCACTACACGGACCGATCGGCCGATCGACAACACCGAGCGGGGCACACAGATGAGCACGCCTGCGCCTGTGAGAACTTACATAGTCATGACAATAAATTGTCATTGATCTTTTTTTGCAGGTGGTGGAGCGGTGAGCGGGACTGAGACTGAGACTATGGATGTGGCAGTGGCTGTGGCTGTGGCTAAGGCTGAGGCTGCAGCTGCCTGTCTCTACACTGCGCTGCATTTGTCAACTTGCCACAACAGCGTAACTTGCCACAAAATGTGAACCTGGCCGGCAAGTATAGTAGAAGAAGAGTGACTCTCGAGTGGCACTGTTGTCACGGCCCTGGCCGTCCCAATGGCTTGCCTTGCCTCACCCCACCTCACCCCACCTCGCCCCATCGCAGCGCGACTCAACGCGCCTCGACTCGCTTCGGTTCGGCTCGGCTCAGCTTGCTTTTCATAATATCTTCATAAGCATTTGAAGTTTGCTCCTCAACTGGCCCCTCAAAGCGACGCCAAAGTGTTCTGTGGGTCCGTCTGCCTATATACATATACATGTATGTGTATATATATATATATATACATATGTGTGTGTGTGTTTGAAATTCAAGTGCAGCAACAAGAAGAACGACCCAGACAACGCCGACGACGACGACAACGACGATGACGAAGACTGCGAAGACGACGAAGCCACAAAGATGAAGTTGAAGAGCAAGCTGGAATGAAGTAAAGCGCAGTCCAAGATACTTTCGTCACAAATACACACATGCTCGCGTATACACACATACAGAGTAGTATGTGTATGTTTGTATATCGTTCCATGAGGCAGGGTCTGGCGATGCCGTTGTCTGTGCGTCTGCCTTAAGATTTAAGATCGGTGCTCATTAAGTGCGTCCGCGTCCGCGTGTCTCACACAGACAACGCGTTGGGCATCTCTGTCTTTCTCTGCCGCCCCTTTGTCGTTCCCAAATGCACGCTGGATGCTGGATACTGGACGCTGGAGCACTGCACATCAACTGAAACAAGCTGCGTTTGCATCTGATTTCGTTGCGTATATTTTATTGGACACCAGAGTAGTTCACGTAAATAAAATAAAATGAAATAAGGCAAAGCGTTATTCAAATAGCCCGTTTCAAGCATACATATAAATGTGTGCATGTGTGTATGTGTGTGAGAGTGGACAGCAAAATAATAAAAATCGTTATGCTAGTTTAATAAATATATCAAATTACATAAAGACGTGTTAGGGAACTTGTGATTTTAACACGTTCGAGCCTTAGCGCAGCTACGAACATTTTGAATATCAGTTTTCGTTGTGAGAGAGAATCAGTCAGAGCATACAGAACTCTTGGATGAATTAAGTAATTCCAATCAAAGAGAGTTCTTTCAGTAGAGAAAAGCTACACTAATCCCAGTTGAAACCCGAGACCTATACAGTCATAAATAGATAGTTTCGGCCCCAACCAATGCCACCAACTGTGTTATTCTTTACACATTTTTATGGTGCCAAAGTACAAATGTCAGCGTATTGAGCATTGGATCTTTTGGCTTATAGGCCCCAGCTTCCAGCGGCAGCGACAACAAAACACATACAACATTTTATTATCATTTTTATGAACTTATTAATAAAATTTTACACCGTGCAATAAAATTTTTCCGCCTTAAAACGCACAACAAAACAAAACTTACACGCAAACAACCTCAAAGTGTGGCAAAAGAATATTTGCCAGCACCTCCATCCATTCACTTATCCAAACCCACTGAGCAACCTCAAGAAATATACTGTCAGCAAAGCTTAAAAAAAGAGATATTGTAACGCACAGTGCATTCACTATTGGATTAATTTCGAATTCACAAAAATTTATTGCAGTTCATTTCTTGTATATGGGTAATAAATGCAATCTAATGTGAATTTATTGAAAACCATATTTTAAATGCTACTGCGGCTCTAATTTTTCATAAATTTTATTTAAAGATGAAGCATTTTCCAGTTACAAAATTTAATAACTTAACTTAAAACAATGATTTTTATGGTAATTATTCAATACTTTTTTTGTTTCGCTTACAAGCATAATGATAAGTTATTATATTAGCTCTCATTCTGCAGGCTATGTAGCTTTCTAATACATTTCTGCATCCACGGTCAAATTGTTCTCACACTTCAAATCTAGAGCTGTTGCAGTTATTTTTATGAAATACTATACGATTTTAGAGGTTATTTACATCTACAAATGCTCCAAAATGTACACTAGCTATAGTATTCGTACTTCCATTACAATTTCATATGTTTCACACAATTTAAAGTAAATTAAGAAATATTTACTTGCAAAAAAGAATTAAATGTTTTGTTGCTAAAATTTGTAACATTTTCTCATGGTTGGGTTGGTTTTGTTTTTTGATCAAATATGAATCCCATATAAATGAACTGTTGGAAGACAATTTTAAATATAAAAGTAGTGCTTAAATAGCATTGCAATATATTTAAGGCACTGTGCGGCATGTTGTTGCAGTTGCTTTTACCTCGGCTTCTGCTGATATGCTGAAAAATCTGGCAATGTTGTTGGCGTAGTTGCAGCGCCGGCGACTGAAGCATAATTTGCATATGAGCCGCAGTCAGAGTATTGGTGAGGGCCGGCGAGGCTGCTGCTTGCATTTTGTGCTCGTGGCTAGCGCACATGCAATATTTTCTGCTTTGTATGTTTACTCTTTTCGCTTTTATTCAATGTCGATGTTGTGGCTGCTGCCTTTGCGTTTACTGCGAAATTCTAAACAAATTGCTTCCGCACCTGCAGCGAAAATCAATGCATGCCACAACATGCACGAGCTGCCAGAGTGCAAATGGCTGAGAAATGGCTGCAGCAGCAAGCTGAGCTGAGCTGAGCTGAGCATGAAGAAGGATGCTCGAGGGAGCTGCTGAAGATGCCACCGCCATCATCAGTGGTATGGCCATGCAAAGGTCAATGCGATCAATTAGTCTAAGAGGCTAAGCTCGTTCAGTCCCACACTATACATGTAGATGACTTCTTTGTATGATTTTTATGCATCCTACATATGCATAATAAATGCATTGTGCGATAAAGAAAGAGCGGCCCAAGACTTTATCAGCGCTTACAACACTTTCCTTTTTCCCGCTCACATAAAAACCCATCAAAATAAAACATTTACCCGACTGCCCAGAGCGGCAGCGATAAACTATCAAACAATAGCATATAAAGAAAGGAGAATAGAGCAGCGGCAGTCCATTTCATAATCCTGACATTCAGGCAGACTGCTTCGCGCAATACAATGGGGCCGCGAGCTGTTAACTTTAGCAATAAACCATAACAACTGAGCCATATTTACAATAGAAAGGGTAAGTGCGACCAATGAACCAGGAGAGTTTCCAAACACACACCAAAATTGTTATACAAATTTTGTTATTTTTATTTTTTGTCCGGAGCCCCTTTTGGGTGCAAACAAAAATTACGTGGAAAGATGCCCACAAGAATTTTATGGTTTCGATGCAGGCATTTCGATTTGGATTTTGAATTTATGAAAAACTCCTCTTTGTTTACTTTTACAAATGAAAAATCTTCAGAGATGCTTAACAGCCTTTTCTTGGGAGTCTGCGGCATGCGTTTCTTGTTTACGTTTTCTTGGGAAAGCAGCAGAAAAAGAAGCGGAGAGAAAAGGGCGCAGATGCTGGCAGGTAGAAATCTAAAACGAATGACTTAGACAACGAACTTGTTCAGTGTTTTGATGAAATGAATTGGCAATTTGGGCCCAGACGCTGCTGCTGGCCATTTTCGATCCGAGAGACACCATCCATTAAGCGATTTATTGATTAATTTAAGAAACTAACCGCCCAACATTACTGTCGTTGCATTGTATTTGTTATTCTCGTGACATTTTTGACATTGAGTGAGTGACGGTAGCATTTCTCGCTATACCTATGTACTTGTATATATGTTTAAATATCTATGTAGATGTATTTTAGCTAATTCTGCTTTCCCCATGAAGTTGTAAGACTGTGCCCAATACATTTCATTCTTCACTATTTCTGACGACCTGTTTTTGCCTTTTTGTTTCGGTTTTTGTTGTTGTTGTTGTCTTTCGACCCGCTTCGCCTTGTCTGTCCCACACAAAATACATTGTTCGAATCTTTTTGGCCGAATCAGGTGAAGTGAGTTGATTGATTGCGCTAATTTATAATGACAATGGGTCAGATCGCACATGGACGTTTAGGTAGAGGCCAAAGCAACACCGGGCCCTATTCAGCTGAGCATTCTTGCTCCAAGAACTCACTCACAAACTGACAAACTGACTGACTGACTGACTGACTGACTGACTGACTTTGCCGTACGGGTCCATTAAACGCCGCCACGGCTGCTGCTGCTGTGGCTGTGGCTGATGATGATGATGATGCGCGCCCGCTGATGAATGAATCTTTTCAATTTTGTAAATTTTTAAACAAATTTGTCAAAAACGAAAAAGAAGAAGTGAAAGAAGACGAGTGTATGCGTGTGTGTGTGAGAGAGAGAGAGAGAGCGATGGAGAGACAGATAGCAACAGTGGTCGAACGCACTCTTGCTAATGAAATTTTTGTTCGTGGCCCAAGTCTTTTGTTTTGCTGATTATTATATTTCCCCTTTTAATTGCTTATGATTGAATTATAAATGCATGCCAGCGTCGCGCTAAGCCGTTGCCCTGCAACGCTAATGTGCAACATAATAAGACGCCGGCTAACAAAATCCGACATGCGTCGCCGACGCCGTAGCCGTAGCCGTCGCCCCAAATCTGGTAACAATCAAATGCATCAATAGAAATCAACCAAAGTCTCTGGCCAAATAATAATAAATTAAAAGTCTACAAGCTCAACAGCGCCCTTTACAACTAGCTAGAGTGTTTAACCTGAGCCCAAGCGTAACACATACATATGTTTTTCTTCTTTTTTTCTTTAAGCGTGTCTTGCTCAGCTCGGTGCTGATGATGTTCATGCTGGTGGCTGATGCTGAAGCTATAGTTGTTGTTATTTTTGTTGTTGTTGTTGTTGCTGTTGTTGAGGTCGCGGACAAGCTTAAACGCATTGGTTCAAGTCAAACATTTGTTAAAAGGGGCATCCAAAAACACCAAAACTTGTAGAGACGAGTTCAAGTCAGTCTAATATTTA